GGTCAGGCTGGTCTTGAACTCCTGATCTCAGGTGATCCACCCACCTTGGCCTCCCAAAGTGCTGGGATTACAGGGGTGAGCCACTGCACCTGGCTTTGTAATGGAAAGATTTTAGAAGATGAATATGAGCTGAAATCTTGACTGACAGCCCTGATTCAGCCAAGTGTGAACATATACCAAACCCAGTCCAGAAGTTGGATGTGGAGCCTGAGGGCAACATAAAATCAGGAGTCAGAAGGCGCCAGGATTGGCATGGAGCAAAGACAAGCGTGGAACACCTAAATAGCAAAGGAGGTGGGCATCACTCTGGTTTGCTCTGGTGCCCTCTTGTAGCACATGGGCCCACCTGGGTGGCTGCCCTAAATGCATAGCCAGAGCTGACTACCTCGTCAGTTACTCACTACATAAAGAAGTGAGGAGAATATGCAGCTTTTTTTGTTTTGTTTTGTTTTTGAGACAGAGTCTTGCTCTGTCACCCAGGCTGGAGTGTAGTGGCAAGATCTTGACTCACTGCAACCTCGCGTCCTGGATTCAAGTGATTCTCCTGCTCAGCCTGCTGAGTAGCTGGGACTACAGGCGCCCACCACCACGCCTGGCTAATTTTTGTATTTTTAGTAGAGATGGGGTTTCATCATATTGGCCAGGATGTTCCCAAACTCCTGACCTTGTGATCTGCTCAACTTGTGCTGGGATTACAGGCGTGAGCCACTGCACCTGGCTGAGAATATGAAGCTTTCTAAAATAGCTTGGACTTCTTAACCTGTTAGAAAAAAAATGAGTGTTTATGCAATATGCATAATACAATATGCATTTTATATATATATATATATATTTTTTTTTTTTTTTGATACGGAGTCTCATACTGCTGCCTGGGCTGGAGTGCAGTGGCACGATCTTGGCTCACTGCAACCTTCACCTCCTGGGTTCAAGTGATTCTCCTGCCTCAGCCTCCCGAGTAGCTGAGATTACAGGTGCCCGCCACCACGCCCAGCTAATTTTTTGTATTTTTAGTAGAGATGGATTTTCACCATGTTGGCCAGGCTGGTCTTGAACTCCTGACCATGTGATTCACTCTCCTCAGCCTCCCAAAGTGTTGAGATTACAGGCTTGAGCCACTGTACCTGGCCCAATATGCATAATACAATATGTAAGGGTTTTTTTCCTCAACACTATTTTGAAGATTATGTCATTCAGTTTTGGTAGGTTGCCTCGGTTCAACATGAATAACATTACCAAATTGCTGCTTGTTCTATCTAGTTCATACCTCCTTCTCCCATATGACTCTAAAGGCCTTTAGAAAAAATAGCATAGTCCTATTTTAGGGTCTGGTTTCCACTTCATTATTTGGTTAGACTGCCTCTCCTACACTTATATATCTTCAAGTTCCATACTTTCTCTAACAGTCCTTTATGCTATGGCATAGCTACTCAAGTTTACAAGGTTCAGTGATAGAGATTGAGCAGAAATATGGATATCCAGTTTTTCTTTTTTCTTTTCTTTTCTTTTTTTTGAGAAGGAGTCTCCTCTACCGCCCAGGCTGGAGTTCAGTGGCATGATCTCAGCTCACTGCAACTTCCTCCTACGGGGTTCAAGTGATTCTGCAGCCTCACCCTCCTGGGTAGCTGGGACTACCGGCGCCTGCCACCACGCCCAACTAATTTTTTGTATTTTTAGTAGAGACGGGGTTTCACCGTGTTAGCCAGGATGATCTCAAACTCCTGACCTTGTGATCTGCCTGTCATGGCCTCCCAAAGTGCTGAGATTACAGGCATGAGCCACTGTGCCCAGTCGATATCTAGTTTTTCTAAGAGATACACTGAACACGAAACTGTGAGGCCACGTTTCCCTTTATGACAGCTCTTGACGTACATTTCTCATCCATCTTCTTAACCTTTCACATTATTTCCTGAAGCCATTTCATCTTCCTGCTAAAATGCCAACCTAAAAATAAGTAATCACACTGAAAAGGATCCAGATGGAAACAGAAAAACACGGACACACTCATTCAGGACGTGAAACATGTTCTATATTTGCCAGTAGACTTAAGTTTGCTTCTCATCTTCACTTCTATCTCCTCACAGAGGCGTATTAGAAATGCTCTGACCAGTGAAACCACATTCGTTCTATGTGGCTTTTGATTTCAGGTGATACTAGTGGATTTTATCTGGAAATAAATGTGATTAATTTCTACCTTTTATTTAATCAGACCAAGAGTTCAGATTATTGTTTCAAGCAATTGGGAGAAGAAGGATACATCAAGCTCAAGAACTTGGCACATTCCTTCATTTCTCTCGCTGAATGAATGTGGAAGACTTTCTAAGGCAGGTCTTGACCTTTCTGGACACATCAGGACATGAGAGTCACAGAACCAGATGAATGCAGTAAATTATAAGCAAACCCGGAAATGCAAAAATATCAGACTAATCAGAATCTCTAATGAATTACTATTTTTTAAAATTCTTTTTAAATTATCGGAAGAACAACACACACATACACTTATATCAGAGGAAATTTAGTAAGTTACTTGTTTTCAAGGAAACTTCCGACGTCAGTACACATTCGTTTATAACGCCCTTATCTTCCTTATCTATAGCCCTGTTCAATAGCAACTGGCACTCAGAATAAGAAATTTGAGACACCACATGATATTACATTTCCCAAGAAAATAATAATGTCTCCTCATTACCAAGGCAATAAATCCTTCTACACCATTTTAGAATATTTATCAGAATAAAGAGTTGAAACAAAAAATGTTTACTGAAAAACTATCCCTTAGCCAAGAGAGGTCTCCCCTAGGCACCATGATGAATTTTGTAAACTTGTATTGAAGAGTTACAAATTTTAGGACCAAGTTAATCATCTAAGTGACTGAGGTCTATAAATCATCCCCCACAACTGAAAAAAAGTTTTCCCTAAATTGTGGTGCTTTAGAAAATGGTGCAAAAGTGAAACTTAGACCACTGTCAAGAGGTTTAATTCCACATGAATTATTATTATTATTATTATTTTTTGAGACAGAGTCTCACTCTGTCACCCAGGCTGGAGTTTAGTGGCAGATCTTGGCTCACTGCAACCTCCGCCTCCTAGGTTCAAGTGATTCTCCTGCCTCTGGAATAGCTGGGATTACAGGCATGTGCCACCACACCTGGCTAATTTTTGTATTTTTAGTAGAGATGATGTTTCGCCATGTTGTCCAGGCTGGTCTCGAACTCCTGATCTGAAGTCATCCGCCTGCCTTGGCCTCCCAAAGTGCTGAGATTATGGACATAAGCCACTGTACCCAGGCTAATTCCACTTGAAATATCAGCTACAATTCGATTAGCTTGTGGGCTCCAAAAATGATTTAAAATTTTAAAGTACAGGCTCAGGCCGGGCATGGTGACTCATGCCTATAATCCTAGTACACTGGGAGGCTGAGGTGAGTGGATCACATGAGGTCAGGAGTTCAAGACCAGTCTGGCCAACATAGTGAAATCCATTCTCTACTAAAAACACAAACATTAGCTAGGCATGGTGGTGCATGCCTGTAGTCCCAGATATTCTGGAGGCTGAAGCAGGAGAATCGCTTGAACCCAGGAGGCAGAGGTCGCAGTGAGCTGAGATCCACCAGTGCACTCCAGCTTGGGTGACAAAGTGAGACCCTCTCTCAACAGCAGCAACAAAAAAAGTACAGGTTCTGCAAAAGCAACCAAATGGCTGTTGTACACATCCTCCAGGAGACGTTGAACCAGAAACCAAAACCAAGAGTGTGACCCTTTAAGTACTTTGAAGGTGACAAAAGTACAACCACTCTCTTCTCTCTATTCACACATCCAGATTCTGTCATGTACATCTTGCTCAGACACAGCTGGAACCAGAGCTGGATGTGACCTGTCCCTCTTTTGAATGCTGAGGTGGGCAAGCATTGGCATGCGACTCCAGCATAGTTGTTCATTCCCTGGTCAGGGTCTGGCCCTTTTTCTAGTGACCTGTATTGTATTCTACTCTGTAATGTAATGATTTATCTACATATTTTATCTCACCTAATAGATTATGAATTTTTGAATGCAAGGACCATGCCTTTGTATCTTCTTTGAAGTAATGCAAAGGAAAACTCACTGTAAATTATGAAATACTTTCATAGGTCTAACTTTCTTCTTTGTAAAATTATTTGCATCTATTAGCACCTAACACATTGCAGATGCCCAATAAAGATATGTCAACTGACATTGAAATCAACAAACATCTCCAATTATTCCCCTCCTGTCACCAGAATCCCACACGGTATCTAGTAGAGTTCAGCCCAGCAAAGAGATCAACTGTCTAAAGGACATTTGTTGGAATAGAGCCCAGCAAGCTGACCTGCCATCCTCAGTTCTCTGCCCATCAAGCACAAATACCGCCATCGCCTCTTTCATTTCATACTCTAGTATTTGGTTGCACACTGTGGTGTCCTGGCAAGCTATCCAGGAGAGCTCCCTCAGGGAAATGTGGATGCCTGACCCTGCACTAAAAAAGTATTTCGGGACTGGCAAGTGGAGGGGTTGCCACAAACCATCCCCACCATTTGGATGTCCGAAAAGTAAGCATCAGCACAACTCTTCTCCCCCAGGTAGCAAGGGAAACAAAACCCATGAAACCAAAGCGGGCAGCTGATTCGGAGGACGGAGCAGGGCTTCTGTTTTTGCCTCGCTATGTCAAACACACAGGAATAAATGCAATAGAAAGACGTTTTGCTTCCCAAATGGAAACTTTGCAAGTCTTTCTAAACTGTTTTTTATCAACTAATCTGTCTTTGAACGATGTTACCTTAAAAAAAAAACATAAGCTTGTTTCAGTAACGTGGAAAAACTAAATAAATCACTTTCTCACTAGGAAATACTTCTCCTGTTTTAAAAACCAAATTCAGGAATTTGACTTTAAGAAAGAAAAAAATGAAATTTCCTAATGGCCATTTTCTGAAATGAATTAATATCTAGAGGCCCACTGGCCACCTGCTCGGAGCCAGTCAGCATTCTTACCCAATCACAGGTGAAGTCAGAAGCACTCGGAGTTTATGATGTACTGGCAATGCTTCGTTTAGAACATTTACCAACTGCTGTATTTTTTTCCACAGAGTCTCACTATTTTGTTATAAAGACTAGAAGAACAGGCCCTTGTTCTCAGGCAAGAAAACACAGAAGCGTCATTTGTTTATTATTTTTAACTACTGTGCATTTTGTGTGCTTTATAGCTTCTTCAATGATTGTTCAATTGTGAGTATATTGGCATGTGATTTGAGGTCAGCTGTTTGCTCCCTGGCTGGTACAACCAATCTATAATCTTGATAGGGAGAAATAAAGTCCAAGCTGCAAATTCTAGGCTGCCAACTAATACTCTCCCTCTCTTCAAATCTGTGTCTATCATGAAAAACATTCTCAAACTGTTTACATTTCACTGAATATTACTTAGAATATATTTTTAAAGGCATCTTTCCTCTTCTTCATTGCTTTAAAAAATGTAGACAGGCAGGCCGGACATGGCGGCTCAAGCCTGTAATCCCAGCACTTTGGGAGGCCAAGGCAGGTGGATCAGGAGGTCAGGAGATCGAGATCATCCTGGCCAACATGGCGAAACCTCATCTGTACTAAAAATATAAAAAAGAAAAAAAATAGCTGGGCATGGTGGTGTGTGCCTGTAGTCCTAGCTACTCAGAAGGCTGAGGCAGGAAATTTGCTTGAACCTGGGAGGCAGAGATTGCAGCGAGCTGAGATCGTGTCACTGCACTGCAGCCTGGCTGGCGACAGAGTGAGACTCTGCCCCTCTCCAAAAAAAAAAAAAAATGCAGAGAGGCAAACAAAAGAAAATGGTCACCAATTCTACCACCCAAAGGTAATCACAATTAATTATATATATTATATATGGAAGATTTGGTGCAAAATCTTCCAGGCTGTTGGAAAGAGGTTTTGTTTGTTTGTTTTATTGCAGGGTTTTCGTTAATAAGCACCAAAAAAAAAAACTGAAAATAAGTTTTGCTAGAGTTTTAAAGTGATGCTATCTTCTAAAAAAATTTTTGCTAACTAAAACCACATAAATAAGATTTTCTTTCATTGAATGTTTTTCGTTTGCCACCAGTATACATACAGCTCAAGTGGGCCATCAGTCTAGGGGGTGATGGGCATTTTTAAGAAAAATACATGAACTTCTGCTGTTCCAAAGTCCAATACAAGAGTAATCACAAGACTGCTTTAACCGATTCCATTTGTTTCATTTCCTTCACCTCCCAGATCATCCTCCACCCCACTCCAGGTCTTTTTTAAATTTTTAAATTAATCAATTATTTGAGATGGAGTCTCACCCTGCCACTGGGCTGGAGTACAGTGGCACCATCTCGGCTCACTGCAACCTCCAACTCCCTGGTTCAAGCTATTCTCTTGCCTCAGTCTCCCAAGTAGCTGGGATTACAGGTGCACACCACGATGCCCTGTTAATTTTTATATTTATAGTAGAGATGGGATTTCACCATGTTGGCCAGGATGGTCTCGATTTCCTGACCTCGTGATCCGCCCATCTTGGCCTCCCAAAGTGCTGGAATTACAGGTGTGAGCCACCGTGCCTCGGCCCTCCAGCTCTTCTTAGACCCTTACTCCAGGATCCCTTGTCTGCTTCTTTTACTTACAATTTTGCTTCTGAGGGAAGAGATCAAAGGGGCGAGACTGAAAGCAAATACAACAAAACAGTAATACTGGTCAATTCTGGACAACTGAAACACAGGTGTTGGTTGCATTAGTTTCTGTATTCTTACAGATATTGAAACATTCTAAATATGAACAAAACAAAGCCAAACAAAAGATACGGTCTCTGTGTTCCGGGAGCTCAGGTTCTGGTCATGTGTAATCAACTACAGTAAATTAAAGACTTGCAAACAGATCTTTCCTCCAGAGAGCATTCTAACAGAGGTTAGTACAAGGTGCTAGACTCTAGCAGCCACAGGAACACAGAGTATGGAGTACCCTCCCCCTCCATGTTTTCTTGGAGAATGTAGGGAGGCTTCTGGGAAGAGGCAAAGCCTGACTTGAGGCTTGGAGGATAAGCAGTTTTCCATGGTTTCCAGTGTAGGCAGGAGTGTGCTGCAGAAAGCCCTGACACATGTAAAATCAGACTCGGAGACCAAATCATGTGCTTGCGGAAGAGAGACTATTTTCGGTATGGCTGGGGTTGCTCTGTGTCTGCAGATAAACTTGGAGAAGTGGGCATCTACCAAGTGGTGAAGAGTCCCATGTGTCAAGCTACCCAATGGTTGATGAGAAACCAGTGAAATAAGGGAAGGAGGTAATATGACTTTTGTGTTAGGAACATGCTTCAGGGGAAGTTGTGGAATATAGACTATAGAGGAGGAACAGAGGCAGAGACACCGATTAGGAGACTGCCACCATGGTCTAGGTGAGAGACAACGATGGTCTGTAACAGGGCAGTGGCAGAGAACCAACAGGGACAGATGAAAAATTTTTAGAAGACAGAATCTAACTTGCAAGGAGACAAATTAGATGTGGGGGTTGGGGGAAGGAAGAGGGCAAAATCAAGAGCCACTGCTGGGATTCTGACTTGGGTAGTGGGTTGGATGTAAATTCACTGGGATTGGGAAGAGTAGAAATGGAGAGGGAACAGATGAGTAAAATTTGCAACATGCTGATCTTGGGAAGTCTGTGGTACATCTTGCTTGGAGTTGCCCAAGAGACCACAAGGCATAGAGCTTGGAGTGAGCACAAGAAACTATTCTCTCCGAGCTAGAAGAAGACTCATCAAGTGGATGCCACCTTGGCTGAGGCAAATGAAGACGAGGTGTTGAAGATGTCCTGGGAAGACTGAAGGAGGGAGAAGAACAGAGGCTGGAGCTGTAACGGAGCTCAACATTTAAGCATCATGGAGAGAAGGGAAGGCTGTGGAAGAGACTGAATGGGTGGTCCAAGGGGAAGGAGGATGATCAGGAGAGAGCCATGTCAGTCCATGTTACATCTGCTAAAGAAGAAAATCATTTTAAGAAGGAAGGAACAGTCATTAGGTTAGAGCTGGCAGATAAGTCTAGCAAGACATAGTGTTGCCAGATAAAATACAGCATGCCCAATTAAATTTGCATTAAGATACAAATGAATACTTTAAAAAATATTTTTAATTAACAAATGTTTTTTAATTCTAATTTTTGTGGGTACATAGTAGGTGTATATCTTTATGGGGTTTATGAGATGTTTTCATACAGGCATGCAATGTGGAATTATTACATCATGAAGAATGGGGTATCTATTCCCTCAGGCATTTATCCTTTGTGTTACAAACAATCCAGTTACACTCTTAGTTATTTAAAAATGTACAATAGAGTTATTATGACTATGGTCACCCTGTTGTGCTATCCAATAGCAGGTCTTACTCATTCTTTCTATTTTGTGTACCCATTAACCATCCCCACCTTCCCCAAAATGAGTATTTTTTTAAGTAAAGTATGTATCTTATTTTGATTTGCTATGTATGGGAACCGTAGTAAGAGAAAGACTAAAATCTGTGGGTAGATTTTGTAGTTAAAGCTAAGTCAGAGGACTGCAGGAAGCAGATGCAGCAGGGGACTGGGAGGTGACACATGTCAATCAATTTTCCTGGAAACCAGGCTTTGAAGCAATAGTGTAGGGAACAGGCTTAAGACAGGGAGAATTTTCTTTCTTTTTTTTAAATTACAGCTTAAATTCTGGGATACATGTGCAGAACGTGAAGGTTTGTTACATAGGTATACATGTGCCATGGTGGTTTACTGCACCCATCAACCCATCAACTACATTAGGTATTTCTTCTAATGCTATCCCTCCCCTTGTCCCCCACCCCCGACAGGTCCCAGTGTGTGATGTTCCCCTCCAAGACAGGGAGAATGTTTTTAAGGGGAGCAGACACTTCATATTGCGATTTTCTCCCTTCCCTGCCACAGCCAGCAGCCAGAAACCATGTGAGGTTTAAGACCATGTCTTAGTTATTTTTGTAATCAAAGCTCTGACCTGGCCAGGGCTTTCCTTGTGTGCATCAGGAACTCGATACATGTTTGCTAAATTAAACCCTTAGACTGGATTTCTCCAAGTCAATTGTAAATAACTGAGGTAATCAAGGATGTGCATTACTTTTGTGTCTACCTGAAATTTATGACCCAACGTATTTTGGACACATCTAGTTCACATTGATCAGAATGATCTGTGGAATTGCTTCTGCTCTCTGTGTCTCCTTACTGGTGAAGGCAGAGTCTTCAATCCTAGAGGCCAGTGTCCTTTCTTGAACCTGCCAGTGTATAGCAGCAGCAGCAGCTAGGAGTCCCTTAATTGCTTTGTGCTTGTCAAGATTATGCAACTTTCCAGGTGAGTAAAACAGATCCCAAATGTCTGGCTGAGGGGGAAAAAAAGAAAAACACTTGCACTAAACCAGCAGAATACGTTGTTCAAGAGGGTCTTTGAGGCTTGTGGGAAACTTCAGCATCCTTCAGCCTGGTCTGACATTTGCTGCTCCACTTGGCTTTCTTCCTTTAGGCAGCTGAGTGAAATTCACTCCCCTCAACGGAGGAATAAACCGACCACAAAACAAACCTGTGAAGAGGCAGCTAAAGCCTGCTGTAAGTGATCCAAAGCCAGGAAGCACATGCGTGTGTGCTTTTAAAGAAAGGTCTCCTGCATTTCTGCTCTGAAAGCACCCTCAAGTCAACATTGGAGATACTTGTGGACTCCGCTTGCAGGGAGGGAGGAAGTAGGAGCTGGTGCTGAAGAGAGGGTTCAAGGACTCCTGCTCAGGCTGTAGAGAATGCAGATCCCAGCATTCTGTGCTTGGATTTGCTAAGTATGGGAACCCTAGTAAGATGAAGACTAGGGTCTTTATTTTTTCTTCCACCAATAGACCCTGCCCCTGAGGCAGCCCCTGGAGAAGATTAGAAGTGAATTCGGCCAAGTAGGAGATCCATAGCAGGGACCCCGGAGGCCCTGGAGTGGGCAGGGTCTGCTGGTGAAAGAGAAAGAAGAACACTGGTTAATTGGAACAGCTTGGATTTTGAGGGAATGCCAGGCTCGACTGAGCCCAGGGCCCAGGAAACACACCCCGAGTTTCTCTGGCGGGGACTTTAGCTGCTGGTGTGAACTGGGCCCCTGGGAGCAGGCACAGGGGAGACTTCTCCTCTTCAG